CTCCGTCGTGCCGGCCGCGGGCCCCGGCGCCCGCCGCCCTCGCCTCGCCTCGCCTCGCCTCGCCCGGGCCTCGCTCCGCCGCTGCCGGCGCCTCCCGAGCGCGGAGCCGGGAAGGAGACGCGGGCCGTGTGCGGCCGCAGGAACTGATGTCAGGCGGGGCGGCGCCAGCCCCGGCCGGGAGGGACCGCGGGCACCGGCGGGCCCGCCTCCTCCGAGGCCCGGAGCTGCGGAGACCCGGGGCCGCGGCGACCTGGGAGCTCATAGACCGGGATTCGATCCGGGCGCAGAGACCCGGGGACTCACACAGCCGCGACCACGCAGGCCCGCGACGTCTCAGGAAAGGGATCGCACTGACCCCGCATCGCAGAGACTCGGGACTCGAACTCCCTGGCTCTCCGAAATCTTGGCCTCACTCCCACCACCCCGCACCACGCAGATCTCCAGAGCTGCTCTGCTCACAGACCCGGGCCCTCTCCCAACTCCTCCGAGAGGCCGTGTTGTCATGCCCCTCCCCCCATCTCAACCATCTCAGCAGGGCCCTTACAGGCCTGGAAACTGCCACAACTCCCCCCTTTCCTCCGCTTCCCTTCCCTGCAACATTTAAAGACCCTCCTTCCAGGACCTGTCCAACTCCTTGGAGACCTCACCCCCACTCAGAACCCGCACAGACAGGGCCCCTCCCTCATTCCAACTCTGGCATTCCTCACACTTGCCCACGAGGGACCCCAGACATGCCAGCATACTTAAGAGACTCTGGAGACAAGGCCAGGCCTGTCAAAGACACCTACCTATCCCTTCCAACCCCTCCACGCACACCCCAGGGTTCAGGGGTTTGGACGGCTTAGGGACTCTAGCACCCAAACTTGGCCTAACTCCAGAGCTCAGCCCTCCAAACCTCCCCAACGCAGCAACTCATTCTCAAAGTCCAGTCCTTAACTTCAGGCTGTTGCAAACCCCTAGTGGCTTTCCTACCTCCAAAGCAAACCCTTCTTCCCTATCAGCTCTCACACCCTCCATTCTGGCTAGTTTTATGTCAACTCTGCCCAGGGACACAAGCTAGAGTCATCAGAGAGGAGGGAAACTCAATGAGAAAATACGGCTCCGGAAGATAGGCCTGTAGGACATTTTCTCAATTAGTGATTGTTTGGGGAGAGGTGGGAGCAGTCCCTTCTAGGTGATACTGTAAGACCTGGAGTCTCACAGCTCAGGAGCTCAGGATTGCGCCCTTCCCAGAAACACTCACAGACCACAACTCGATGCAAAAGCAAGGTTTATTCCAATCCCGATAAGGTCGCCCCTCCAAAGACAGGAGACGACCCCAAACATGCGAAGCACAGGGTTTTTGTACCTGAAAATCAGACCACTTTTGCTCTATACATTGATTGGTCAGCAAGAATAGCATGAAAATAGTCTATAGCTGGTTGTAGATAGTTTACAGCTGGTTGTAGGTAGTCTATAGCTGGTTGTTTATGGTTTTTCTCAGAACAGTTCACCCTGCCCTTCAAGAGCTCTCTGCACCTGGCTTCAATTCAAATAATCACAGTTGTTTTTCTCATTCCTGAGTGGTCCCTCAATACCATCCCATCCCATGGGGGGTGGGGTTGGGGGGTCCTGGGGTCTGTGAAAGAGCAGGCTGAGCAAGCTAGGGGGACCAAGACAGTGAGCAGCACTCCCCACTAACCCCAGGGCCTCTGCATCAGCTCCTGCCTACAGGTTCCCGCCTGGTTTGAGTTCCTGTCTTGGCTTCCCTCCACCACAGGTGGTAATTCAGGATATATAAGCTAAATAAAGCCCCACCACCACCACCACCACGGCCATGTAGCTTTGGTCATGGTGATTCATCACAGCAACAGAAAAGTAGCTAAGACGTCTTCCTCTACCCTGTGCCACGAAGGGCTTCACTCCCTCAGCCTGGGGTCCAGCAGAACAAGTCATAGGACTCACACCCTGCCCATACTCACCAAGTCTACACCTGGGTTCTGTCTCTCTGGTCACTTCTCTAAGTTTGGTCCCAAAATAGACATACCCTCACAGAACAATAAGACCATTTTTTAACTTGGACACTGAAATCCTCACCTCTGGCTCCCTAGTTTTTTTAATAGTGTCTGCTGAGGCTAACTCATTCCTAAATTCATCCTTGGAAGCACTAATTCTACAGCCTACGAAAAGAAGACACCCACCCTTTACCAGACCTCCAAAGAGAGCCCAAATTCGATGATTGTTTTAAAGTTTGGGTCCTCAAGGACTATATAAGGGGACAAAATAAACTCTGGAAAAGGAAAGGGACTCTGGGGTGCCTGTGTTCCTGACCCCCTGGGCCCTGAGGGGGCAGCCGACCCCAGTACTAGCCATGTTGAAATCAAGTGTTAGCCAGGCGGTGCACACCCGTTACCTCAACACCTGGGAAGTGGAGGCAGGAGGACCAGGAGGAGTTGCAAGCCGTTCTCAGCCACACAGTGAATTGTAGGCCAGCCTGGGCTACCTACCGAGAGAGACCCTGTCTCAAAAAACAAGCAACCAAAACAAAACAAGAAGAAAAAAAAAAAAAAACACCAAGCAAAAACATTAAGCCATGTGTATAATTTCAGAACTGTTTTTGTTTTGTTTTGGTTCTCTGAAACAGTTCTCACTCCGTGACCCTGGCTGGCCTGGAACCCACTATACAGACCAGGCTGACCTTAAACTCACAGTGACCCACCTGCCCCTCCAATACTGTGATTAAGGGCATGTACAATCACAACCACCAGATCAGCACTAGTTTTTGAGTCAGGGTCTCCCTCTCGCTCTTCTTGGCCTTGAATCTGATACACAACCCACACCGGCCTTGGACTTGAGGCAACCCTCCTGCCTCCGGCTCCTAGTACATACATACACACACTACCAGGATCAACTTGAACCAAGTGTTTTCCACAGAATCTAGACTAGGACTCCAGGAATCACGGGTGTGTTTTTCTGAACCCAGGACCCGTTTTATGTGCTGTAGACTGTTTGAGCAGGCCACCCTGAGGGCTTGCTCTAACGTTTATGAAGAAAAGCAGAGTCTCTATAGCAACGAAAGCCAGGGTGTTTTTCAAATTTATATTGAATTGCTGGGCAAAGTGATGCATACCTGTAATCCCAGCACTAGGGGAGGCAGAGGCAGGTGGATCTCTGTGAGTTCAAGGCCAGCCTGCTCTACAAAGCAGGTCTAGGACAGCCAAGGCTACACAGAGAAACCCTGTCTCAAAAGACAAAAATAAAATACATTTATATTGAATTCAGGAAAATAAGAGTTAAAGTGGAATTGGGTAGAAAGCAAAAGAAGGACGGTTGGGGATCAAGGTTGTATTTGTCGCCTAGGTAAAGGAAAGATTAAGGGCAGAGGACACATTGCATTAAATGATGAAAGAGAGAGAGACAGGTGCCCAGAGGTGTTTGTGGCAAGGAGGAGGAGGATCGTCAGCAGGAATGAATGACTCCCCTTCCAGCCCTCCCACCCAGGCTGCCTACGGGCCCTGACCTGTGAGACACAAGCCTGGTCCATGAGAACCGCGAAGACCACAGTATAACCAACAAGCTAAGTGGTTACTCCCCGCATCGAGCCACCTGCTCTGCACCGTGTTCCAACGAGCGCCGCTCCGTGTTTGGGACTCGGAACAGAGTCAGCTTCTAAGGTTTATTTATTTTATGTATATGAGTGTTCTGTGTACTCCTGCAGGCCGGAAGAAGGCATCAGATCCTAGTACAGATGGTTGTGAGCCGCCGTGTGGTTGCTGGGAACTGAACTGAGGGCCCCTGGAAGAGCAGACAGTGCTCTTAACCGCTGAGCCATCTCTCCAGCCCCCAGACTCAAAGTGTGAGTGTGAGTGTGTGTGTGTGTGTGTGTGTGTGTGTGTGCTCGCGTGTGTGTAAGTGCACACACGCGCACATGGAGGCCACGGAACAACTTACCGTGTCATCCTCAGGAACACTGTCCACCTCCCTTGAGACAGGGTCTCCCATTGGCCTGCCTTTCACCAATTAATCTAAATTGCTTCTGCCTTCCCATGTATCACATGGAAGTGTATCACAATGCATGTAGCCCAAGCTCTCCTTGAAGCCCCTGTGATGTGAGGAATACTTCTAACTTCCGATCTTCCCAGGGGCTGGAATGGCAGATAGGCGCCATCACATCTAATTTATATGGTGCTGGGTGTGAGAGTCCGGACTCAGTAGTCAGAAGTGCTTGCTGCTTTTATAGAGGACCTGGAGTTGAGGTCCCAGCACCAATATTGGCTTACAACGACAGGTAATGAACACCAGCTCAGACCTCTAGTGTCAGGAGGTCTGACACTCTTCTGGCCTCCCCATATACAAGAAATTAAAAAATAAAAAGTAACCAGGTGGGGTAGCCTACACCTTTAATTAAAGGAGGGAAAGGCAGGCGGATCTCTGTGAGTTCAAGGCCAGCCAAGGCTACACAGAAACACCTGTCTCAAAAAAAAAAAAAAAAAAAATCAACATTTTACAACTTTTGGAGAAATATGTTTTCACTGCCGACCAGCTCCTCAAGGTGTGCAGGGTATGTGTTTGTCTAGAAGGAGAGGGACGAGACCACT